TGATGATGATGATGATGATGATGATGATGATGATGATGATGATGATGTGTGTGTATTGGTACTTTGTAATGTTGGTTCCCCGACCATCAGATCATCAGGGACACTCCCACAACAATGGATTCAAGACAAGCTCCTTGATGGTCCTTTCCTCCCGCTTCCGTTCTCCAATGTCGCGGCGGCTGCCACTTCCGTTTAGGCTCAACGCGACCTGCACCAATGTGGATGTTGGCCTGGTGGTGTTGCACCTTGGCACCATGGTTTGACGGTGTTGCGGGAACTGGACTTATATACATGTGCCCAGCCTTCCCCCGAGAGCCCGCGCTTAGCCAGATATAGCCCACACACGCACAGGCATCGTATATATATATGTATGACACACACACACACACTTATATATTTTAAGTTATAGCCAGCTGTGTACTGTATATAGGTGGACAAGTAAACCACAATGAGCCATGCTTTTGCCGTGGTTAGGTCATCAAATTCACTTGATGTGAGTAAGAATCGAGGGAATAGTGATGAAGGCTAGTTAAGGTGTGTTTGCTCATTTTTGTGCCCAATCCCGGGTATGACGATGACAGTGGTGGCTGGCATGCTTTGCTTAAGAAGAGATTTTCCTTGAATTGAGCTTGTTCTTGGCATGGTATGGCAGGCCCGACTTTCGCCCATAGGCCGTAGTTGCCTAACATTTCAAAAGCCAGACCAGCCAAGGCTGCAGCGAGGCGGGCGGCTCAGCGAGACGACGCTTTTTGCGACAGCTCGGAAGGTCAGAGAGAGTTCAAATGCTCCAGGTTGATGCAAGACTCTGCCCATCGGGGGGTAGCTAATCTAAACTGAAACGAGAGAACATGGTTCTTGTGTGGGCTGAAGGTCGCAAGTCGCTCACTGGGAACCAGTGACATTAAGGTACAGACGCGCAAGGGGATCCTCAGACCAGAGCTTAGTTGCATGTGTTTAATGCTGATGTGCTTCAAGCAGCTATGTCTTTTGCTTCCACGCCTTTCGTTTGTGCACGTTCCCAGGGGTATGACACGTATGACACGGAATCACGCTATGAATCAATGTATGTTCATGTTCAATCATTTGTCCCTACGTTTCAAATTTAAATGGTTGGCCGTGTCCAACCTCGAGGTACGAGTTTATTGGGGGAGCCCCACGATCCTTTGAGGACTGCGCTCGGTCCCCTAGTGTGGCTGGAAAGTACTTGACCGGATGGCTGTCAGTTTGTGGTTATGCGCTGGGTCGTGGATGGGCGGATGAACGCACGTGTTACTACTAGCTTCTTGTTAATACTAGTAAGGCACTTGTTACTACTAGCGTGGCACCTGTTACTAGTAGCAATAAAGCAAATGAAATCGTTCTGTGGTTTCTTCTTGACTTGATTTCACTGCAGGTGAGCGTGGAAGTGATTTTGGAGGCGCGCATTCAGCAAAGAAGAAAGATCTAGGAGAGTGGGAATGTCTAGTCCATCCTAGTCATCATGCCTTTCGTCGTCCCAAGAAGTTGGCAGCACTCTTTGGTTGCATTGGTTGCCCTGCTCAGCATGTAGCATTCTGGTCTAGCCATTGAGATGTCTACAGATGCGGAGACATTCAGCCAACCATGCACAGGCTGGCTTGGACTACCTCGTAGTTCCTCTTTGCATGAGCCATCTTTATCAGCAAGAACCACGCCAGGACAAGCAGGGTGAGGGACAAAAGGGTACTCGTTTCTTTTTTTCAAGGTGGAAATCTTGGTTTTGCACACCCTTCCAGAACAACAAGAACATGTGCAGTGGTAGTTTTTAGAGTATTTTAGAGTCAAGTACAGCCGATTTTAACTGCCCGGCACATTTGGCTGTGGCTTGTATTGGTGTCCAGCGACAGTATTTGGTTTTCTCACGATGGAAGAATCAGCCCAAAGCCATGTGAGCCTCAAGATCAGCATGCTGCGAGCCTTTGTATGTGTCCCATTGGTATTCCTCCACGTTTGTTCCTCCAGTGTTCGTTGCTGAACGGTGCCCTTTCCTGAAATCGCCAGGGCATCTTGGCAGTGCATTCGGTGAAGCCCATCACCCTGACTCCCCGCGGATCCTCTTGGCGGGAGGCGGCGAATTGGGGGCTCAAACGAACATCAGGAACTTCGAGACTGCAGGTGGTGTAAATAACGCCAGCCAACCAACGGTGGACGGTGCGCATGTGGATCTTCGCGGTTGGTGTTGCCCCGGCTTGCGCGTGCCACGCGCTTCTGTTCCCTGTCAGATGGCCAGCGGCCTTTGTTGCTCTGTGCAAGGGCTTGGCAAAAGCCAGGAGCTCAGCTGAGTCAGAGGCCCCTTTGCTGTCAGGTCGCAGGTGACTGAAGGGAGCAGATGGGCTTCTGCAAGACCGCAAGGTCTTAGCATCATATTCACATATATATATATATACATATTCACTATATTCACTATGTTTGGTTACTATGCCATCACATCCACTTGATTCATCATCCCTACTGATAGCATACGGGAGATCAAGTCGAATGATTGATGTGACGGAGATGTATTTTTCCGGCTGTTCCACAGACAGAATGGCCCAGCACTGCCGATCTTGTGTCCTGAGGCTGGAATCACAATCGCTGTCCTGCTATTTATTACTGGACTCTCGCCTTCAGTGGGACCGGTCTAGGTCAATCGGAGAGTAAGGCTTTGAGATTGATCTGGGAGTTGTCACATAGTCTCCCAGTACCCTACCACCTCACCTGAGACTCTTACAGTCTTACGGCAGATTGTTAGATTTTTGAAGAGACTGACCTGACTGACCTTGGAATGGCAGGGGTTTGCAGCTTGCATGGCTAGGCTGGGCCACACACATCCACACAGGCTCTAAGTTTGGCAGTCGGTATGGAGAGAAACGCCTAAGGCATCATTTTGAGCCCGGCGGATGCAACTTCATGGTGTGGAAGCCAAGTGCTGTAACTTTGCTCCGAGGGCCGGGCCCATGAGGGCCGACAAATGTCGGCAGGTCGCACGAGTCCAAGATTGATCGCCGCATAGACCGCAGCTGAGAACTGAGACCACCTCCATCTCCAGATTGCTTGACGCTCCAAGCTTTGCAAAGTCATATCCATGCGAAATCCAAGATCCATGAATGCCCACGAGTCCAGAAATACATAGACTAATTAGACCGTCCGTTAGACGGTGTTTTTCGGCCCAATTTTTTCATTTATATAAGCACCGGCACCTGGCCAATCATGTTGCCACTACATGATGTTCATATTGGCACTCATCCACCATCCACTGATGCCATGGGCAGTGGCCATGAGCGACGGATTTGGGAAGCCCTGGCCATGGGCGAAGAGTCTTTGGTCAGGGCGGCAAACCAAGTCCGATGCTTCGACTGGCAGGCGGCAGAGCAGCTCCAGGGCCAAAAACATTTTTTGCCTTTTCTGACCTGGTTCGCATGAGTGATTAATATTGCAAGGATCCCTATAGCCCTATGGTTAGTGTCTCCGAGGCTTTTCTTTGGTACTGCTTTTGAATAGCAAACTGGCCAGTTCCAGGTGTGATTGCTCTATGAAGGCGTAGGAGCCAAGTGACACAACAAAGCTTGCTTTCACTTTGGGATCGTTGGGTGTCGTTGGGTCATACACGCACCCAGGCCCAGGAACCGTCCAAGAAATACCTGGAGCGGGACCGCGAGTAATTACATCGATTTTATCATTGTCTACTATGCCTACCATCCAGTTTCGGCTCAGTGAGGGATGGCTTCTCTTGACTGAGGAAGTATGGGGAGGTACGGGCCCGCAAGCCTTACTTACTCACAGGGCACGGGCTGTAGTGATAAGTTCAGACCGTCTTCTACGAAGTGTGAGTCAGGTAGTTCTGTGAGTGCAAATGCCTTATATATTGTATATACATGTGTGTGTGTGTGTCTTTAAATATATTTTTGCTTTATTTACAGTCGATTAAAATAGACCCTGCATTAATGGTTTTGTTAGCTTGGCAGGGAACAGGAAAACGTCTTCGGCAAGGCGTAGGAGACCCCTCCGCCATCCATTTGCCTTTGCCAGTCGACGGATCCCCACTTTGGCTCCGTGGTGCATGCCATCCTCTTTGGGCGGATTGATGATGGTCAAGAATCGGCCGAGGAGGAGCCAGCTGGGTGGTCTTTGCGCATGCTGGTTGCGAAGTGATGCTAAGTAAACAACACGAGTCACCACACCCAAGTGAGACACCCTGTGACCGTGAACTGTTTCACAAACATATTCCCTCCCAAAGACTCAGCGGTTGCACGATTGTGGTGCGGGAGTAGTTTTCGATGAGCCCGTCCGGACCCAAGTGCGGTCATATGTGTTCTTGCTTTGGTCGTGGATGTGTTGTTTGGTTTTGGTATGTTTTGATTGCCAATGTGTCCATAATAGCCTTTGGCTGTGCCTTTGTTTGGGGTGTCTTCATCCAGACAGTTTCTGACGTTTCTGCCAAGCACTCCGATAGGTTCCCAGGATTTGGATTCACTATACAATGATTCAATGCGTTAGAAACAGCGTGCGTTACATTGCAAATCATGATGATCAATGATAACCTTTTCCAGTTCAAGTCTTTGAGTCAGGACATTTACCACTATTCGGACATTGTGCTCGCGACAGAAGGCAGAGTTTGGGGTCTAACCTATCCAGCCAGACACGGTTCCCGTTTTTGTCGTGGCTACTCGGGGTTCGCGGTGTCCAGTCATGTGATCCCGCCAAAGCGTTTGGAACGACAGAGTGCTAGAGTCTTCCAATTCGTGGCCAGATAACGTCACGATGCCAAGAAACTAGGAATCATCGGAATCATGAGCGAATTTCCTTGGAATGTTGGATCCTGATTAATAAAAGGGTCCTCTATAATGCTAATTTGTTCACAGCTAATTGTGAAGCCCATGCTTGTTTTAAGGTTCCTCTATTAGTCTATTATGCTAAGTTTTTTGGTGAACCAATGAGTTTGGCAAAACCCTAAGTATAGGTTTCTCTAGTTCTTGTTCAAAGCCGACAGCTTCCTAAAGCCATCAAATCCTTAATCAATCCTTTATGTCCTAAGGTCCTAAGCAATTGTTCAAGGCAGTAGACCAGGAAGGCCCCTGATCCTTAAGAGCAAATTTGTTTTAAGGGTCCTCAATTGTGCAAAAGCGTTTTCCTCAGTAAAAAATCTATACCATCTTGATAATTCTTAATACTTACTACTAAGCCAATGGCTTGCTTGCTGAGAGTATTGATAAGTATAGGTTTCTCTAGTTCTTCTTCAGAGCCGCAGAGAACCCGAGAACCTTCTTTGTACCCTTCTTAGTAGTACAAAAGGATTGCTGAGAATATCTACAAAGAACCTGAGAAAGGAACATTAACAACTATAACCTACGAACTGAAAAGAAAGGAACACGAATCCTACAATCACAAAATGGAATCCTCCCAGAAACCTGGATTTGTTTTGGTTGTAATTAGTTCATTATAGAGGTCCCCCCATTGGTTTGTTTAGAGGGGAGGGATCCACTTGACTAATCAGGATCCAGCATTACTATTTAGTGTTGGTGCTGCGCATTCGGGAAAAACCAAACCTCTCATAGCCGTTCCACGCCAGCTGGCACCAAGCAGCGCTTGAATTTGCTGAAGTTAGCCCTGGAGTATCTCGGACTGACCCGAGGAGCAGGCTTAAAGAAGCCTTGATGTGTTGACAGTCTTAGGACAAGTCATAGACCCAGACAACGAGACTTGCGCAGTAAAGAAGTTTGGAAATACAGATTCCTTTTTCAATCTCGAGCCATGAGGTATGGTGCTTCTCCAGACATTTGTGCTCCAGCGTCCTGCATCCGGTGCCTGAGCTGGCGTTGGTTTGAGAAGGATGAGTGGACCGAGGCAAGTCTGTGGAGATGTTTGGAATCAGCTGAGTTAGCTCCGTTTTGATACCTACAGTGTCAGCCGCCCAAATGAGCATCCCATAGGCATTTTTGTGGTCAATGTCCAGATCGCAATCCCAATTGAAGGTGCTTGTTCATTTTGATGCCGCCACACCTGTGGATGTTTTGGAGGATGTGATCCCTGCAAACAAGACGGGTGTGGAGACATTGTTGGCAGTGAAGCGGGCACTGCTGCACCTGGGCCGCGCCAGATCACGGCAGATCATTGCTTGGTTCGTTGTCCATGCGGGGGCTGGAGCTCTGAAGTAGGGCCACAAGCTGAGCTGAATGTCATGGCGATATGGTCTTAACATGCCTTAACAACTCACAGAATCCCTACGCAGATCACTATAGAAACACGAAAAGCACCAATTTTATAGTGTAGCTCTTTCTGAACTGTCGTTGGAGACCGCTGGCAATTTCAACACACCGACCGAGCGGCTGAGAAACGAGTGCATTGCACCATGCCGCCAGTGCAGGAAATCGGAAAGCACCACACCCAAAGCAGCAGTGCACAAGAAAATCCAGGATGTGGACAAGGCAAGCGGGAGGAACGACGTGAAAGAAAAGTTTTAAAAGCAACTTGTCCAACACAGTGACCCAGTGGTTCCATTGCTGGCAGAGTTCTGAGGCATGATCATGCATCGAAAAGTGGCCGGTGGGCCAGGGTTGAGCAGGGCACTAGTGCTTGTGATGATGTTGAACAACAGTGTTCTTTTCCTAGTTACTTGGTTGTTTTGGTTTTGATGCTTTTGAAAGCATGATTCAGATCGTGTGAATTTCCTCTAAGAAAACGGACAACCCGGGTTGTCGTAGAGAAGAAAATCCGTAGAAAAAGCAGACTGCAATGGCAGAACCCTGGCCCGGGGGTTGCCGTTCTTGAAAGTGGCAAGGCGGACCCTGATTCTTTACTTAGTGTTTTAGGTTTTTTGAAGGTAGGATCTTATTCTTTATCAGGGCATGTTGTTTCATTGATTCTTTGGGGACTCTTCGTCCAGAGTTGCGGTATTGATTTTTGCGTTACCCCTGTGCACCCTGAACCCAATGCTCTAAAAAATCAAACAGCACGGCTTGGCAGGCGAATTGGGGGAGATATGTAGGGATATGTAGGAAAACTAATCATTAACACACCCACAACCGCAAATCATGCGTGATATCGGGCTCCTGAGGTTGCACGAAGGAGAGGGCACGTGCGAGTTTGCTCGTGGAAGATCATGTCATTTGGACTGGTGGACGCACATCATTCTCAGCTGACGCTCGAAATCCTGTTTAGGCCCTGCTGACCTTGTTCTCCGAGCCCTGCCGTCCCCAGAGCCAGAAGGCACTGGTGCCCGAAGAACTCTTGGTACCTTGGCTTTACGGATCATCAGCGGGCGGTGCATATCTATTATGGATTTACTGAATGTTGTTTGTTCTCGCCATCTCTGCAGAACCATGCAAAACCATTTTAGCTTGTTGGTGTGCATCATGTCATCATGCCACATTTCACATGTTGGCCAATGTTTGTTTGGAAAGCATGTGAGTGAAGCTGCAAGCTTTAACAAGCATTCGCTGCTGTTTTGCTCAATGTCCGGCTAAAGCAGTGCCAGCTCAAAGACTTTTGCACAATCCTGTGCTTCCTTGGTTGCAAGGAGATGTGGGCAAGATTCCTCGGAGACACCACAGCTGACGTACGCATTTGCATCTCTTCCAACAAGACAGGCACAACTGATGAGCAGAACCAGTTGAGAAAGGTCTTGAGGAGGCACTGAGGAGCACCACTTCCACGTCATTCCGATCATTCCATGTGCCCATGAAAATGGATATAGAACAGAGTGGGCCAGAATCAGAAGGTGGCCTGAACAGGTCTGTTCCGCATGCATTTGTCATACAGTCTCACCCTGTCACATGACATGTTCGCAGACACAGCCGTTCCGCCCAGATTTCCCGGCAACTAGTGTATATAATCTGGAACCATGTGATTTTGCCTGGTTGTTTTTTTGACCCCAGTGGAACATAGTGGAACACCAAGCGGCTTGAGGCTTGACGTAATGCTTGTGAACTCGTTCTTGTTTCTTGGGAACTGGACTGTGGTCACGTGCTTGTGGAGGCGACGAGATCTACGAGACCATTTCGGCACATTCAGGGGTCCTGCGTGCCGCATCTCCTGTCCTCAATGCCATGCTTTCCGGACTGTGTTGGTTTTGAGCACATTGCAGAAGTACAACAGAGCATGTTGAGTTGCAGGAAACAATCCTTGGTCGGCCGTAAGCATTTAGGATCGGGAAGGTTATATCGGTTATATAATATACAAGTAGTTCCCGGGCAAGCCGGCGGCGGAAGTTTCCTATAAGAAGAAATTGACCTATAGGAGTGTCCACGTTCTCTCCAACATGCGCGTCCTCCAGTCAAACGCACGCGCTCCGGACTTTTGACCCACGGGATTCCACGTGTGTAAGGTGTGTGCCCCCTGCAAGAGATGACACACATCCGGCCACCACGACTTGCCAAGGATGCGGTCCACATCGACACACATCCCACCGTGGCATTCTTCAGTGGCGGCAGGCCTTTCATACCACACATCAAAGTGCATGGAATCCGAATTGGCATGTAAAACCTGTCACGCATAAATGCAACCAAAAACTCTCAGTATGAACTGCGCCCAAAACTTCAACCTTAAGTACAAACCGACCTGCTAACAAAGCAATCAACTGCAACCAGTGTTGGGTTATGATGAGTGGTGTATGATGAGTGATGTATGATGAGTCTTGTATGATGAGGGGTGTATGACGAGTGGTGAATGATGAGTGGTGTATGTTGAGTGGTGTATGTATAGCCGCACAGATTGCTCCGCGTACTAAAGTTGTTCGACAATGTCGCCAGTTCTCCGCTTCCAGCTCTACAGATTGCTCTGCGTACTAACGTTGTACTCGAAAGTCGCCAGTTCTCAGCCTCCACCTCGCCAGATTACTCCGCGTACTAAAGTTGTACTACAAAGTCGCCAGTTCTCAGCCTCCACCTCGCCAGATTACTCTGCATACTAAAGTTGTGTTACAAAGTCGCCAGTTCTCAGCTGCCAGCTCTACAGATTGCTCCGCGTACTAAAGTTGTACTAGAAAGTCGCCAGTTCTCAGCTTCCAGCTCCACAGATACTCCGTGTACTAAAGTTGTATTGCAAAGTCGCCAGTTCTCATCGTCCAGCTCGCCAGATACTCCGCGTACTAAAGTTGTACTACAAAGTCGCCAGTTCTCA